TCGTTAGATTTGTCACTTGCTAACCGCCTCTCTCCCCCTCTCTGTCTGCAGGTTGAATCTCAACGAGCTGTTGACGCAGCTGCTGGCATGCCCGTAGCTCAGGCCCTCGAGGGCTTTGTTCAGCGCAAGGTGATCAAGCAGTCCGTAATGACTACCGTCTATGGTGTGACCCTCTACGGCGCAATGGCACAGATTCGTCGTCAACTCAAGGAAATTCCAGAGTTTCCACGTGAACGTTGGCTGGGTCCGGCCTCCGCTTACCTCGCCCGACTCACCCTGGCCAGCATCAGTGCAATATTTACTTCCTCCAGCGAGACGCAAGCCTGGTTTGGTCGCGTACGTTCCACCAGCACTTTCATCTTATTGTAGTTCTCAGAGATAATGGATGTCCAGCTAGTATTACCGGCCAAGACAGGGTAGACTAGCATGGCCATCTCTGGCTTATTAGCCGTCGTCAACCAGTCATACTCAGAGTCAAACTCCCTAACCATTGGGCCACGAGCTCGCTGTCTTGCCGGGTTAGGTCGAGGGATATTGAAACGCATTGATGAATGCTCACCCGACCGCTAACGGAACTCATCTGTCCCGCCCTGCCTTGGGCCCCGCGAGAGGTCCTGATAGCCGTAATAGCTGGTAGTATAAGCAGAAACTATTGCCGCCAAATGGATAATTGGTACAGCAATTAACTAATTTGGTCACGTCAGGGTGCCGGCTCTTGAAGGGGCTTCTTTCCGGTCGCCTGTAAAACTGAAAACTAAAGATGTATGCATTTCGCCCACTGATTTGCCGTGCCTTTTTTAAATCCAAGTATGTCTTATAGAAGCATGCACAAAATTTATCTTTCATACTTACAGGAGGGGTATCATTCGGTTTTTTTTTAAAAACTCTACATATGAGATGTTTTAAAACTGGGAAATCTTCATTCATAAAGCATACTTGTACCTGTTACGGCTGTGATCATGCCTGATCTTGCCGGTCTCAAGGATGTCATAAAGCATCGTATCGGTCCATCTGTTAATACTGCTCATAAAGCATACGAAATGTCAACGTCCACTAAAAGGTTTTGTAATTCATTATAAAAAACTTGTCCTGTTCGCACGGAAAAGATACGACTTGTAGTCTGGAAACTTTGAATACAGGCGTAACAGCAGACAACGCTCAAATCTTTTCGAAACTTCGAAAACTTTTTTAAAACCGAAGGATGTCATTCATAGGCATGAACTTTGAAGAAGACATAATTTCCTACCGGTCTGTACTTGTTTTCTTTTAACTACATTACGGGATATAAGGGCACTGAACGATGAACTGCTTAGATTGTTTTAAGTTTAGTTTTTGTAGGTAGCTAACAAGAAGTTCAATCAACCCGCGGCGTCCTGACGTGACTGAAATCTCGCGAGATCGGGCTGCGCAGAAAATTATATTACACCCTTACTTAAACAATATTTTCTAATCAAAAACACGCTGCGGGATGTCGGTTAACATTTCATGTTACAAGTAGAATCTAAATAAGCCTTTTGTACATGTGGGCGGGCGTTTGTATCTCGTGCGTAACTCGTACCTTGTAGTCTTGCCCCAGAGTCGCTCTTTCTTGTGGGATTGATGGGAAAGAAAGATAATGAGACCGAGCTTATGCTCGTTTTCCCTATGGGCTTTTGAATCGTTGCGACAAGTCGAACCTGTTTGCTCGGAGGGTCTTAGGTTGCTGGCATGACTCTGTTCGGACTGAGCACATTTTGGGGCAGCCCTCAAGTCTACTTCTTGTGGAGTAAGGAATCAACATGCGCAAAAATTCGAGGTCCAGATACAATATTCCTTTCATCATCCCCGAAAGAGGAAGAAGAAGAAGATTGGACGACTTCTGGGACCAAGTTGTATTTTAGCTGACGTTTCAAAAGTCTTCTCGCTTCTATCGTCAGAGCGTGGTGACTGTTCTCCTGCTGGTGTCAGTAAGTGTGTCCAACCGCTAGCCTGATGTCCGATTCCCGCGTGTCAATCGATTGCACCGACCTATTTTTGGTGGCTGTTTGAATTGCTCGCACCCTTGCGGGCACTTCCATGAGGTGTGTTAAGTCTTTTGTTTGTTTCCTGAGCGTTTCCACCTTCTTCACTCGCGACTGCCAGCTGTCGGCCCTGCGCATCTTCCTCCGCCCGACCTATTGCTCAGTTCTTAGCAGATGTTAGCCTTCTGCGGAGCGCTTGGTAGGCGGGATGAAGATCTATAGTTCTGCTTATTGTGCCAGTCGAGGACCAACTTTATAGGAGAAATCTGGCCATCTTGTCATTGGCTCGGCCTATTAGCCTTGCTTTCTCAAAGGCGACCGTGAAGTTCTTCTGCTGTACCTGGTCATAGGCCATAGACAGCAACACATGAACAGACCCCATATGGGGATGGTTTTGTCAGATCAATCACTGTGTCATACTTTTTTGCAGTTGACAGCATATGGTGGGTCTGGAAAGGAGGAAGAAAATGCTCCGCATAGGTCCACCACTGCAACTAAATTCGTTTGCAAGTCATCGCGGCTGCCCGTGTTTGTGAGTGCGCGATCACTGTGACAGTACGTGTACTGACCTGATATTGCTGTCAACCACAGGTGACTCTCATTAGAGTCTGTGAATGTAACAACAACTGAGTGGTTATGTAGTCAGTCAACGAGGAGGGGGGTAGGGGTAAAGGTGGAAGGGTGGTGTTCGCTGTGAGGCGTTGTACTTGTTACACCTGTGGTCATGCCTGATCTAGCTGGCCTCAATGATGTCACGGACGGTACCCCTCCACGTGTGACGATTGGCGGCAGTGGATCTTGAAAGCTCCACTCAGTTTCTTCTCCAGCGACGGATACCAAAGACGCTCCAAGAACTCATTCCATTTTGGTTGGTTGGTTATTAGCCCTCGTTGGATCAGGAGTCCCGCTGGAGTCCAAACTGGGTGCATTTGGGAGACGGAGAAAAGCCGCGACCTC